CGTAGGTGTATCATCTTTCTCCTGCGAGAACATTGTAGTTTTTGCCCTAGCTCCCGTAGAGGGAGGAGTCTGATGTGCCATCTCTTCTTATATAAGTTTGTCAGCAATCAGGGAAAAGCAGTTGCGCAGCTGTGAGAGGGCGTTTGTATGTAATGTCAATGGAACGAGCAATTTGCCAACATCGCTGTAGGGACAATTTAGGTAGGTTATGCAAAGTATATGCCGACTCCAGACGTCTGATTCTTCTAGGTGGCATAAGTTATTCGCTATGCACAGTAAGATTGCAGAATACCCCAACGTATCACGTTAATTTTTCAAAACCCCGTTAGCTATGCACAGTACGATTGCAGAATACGCATACAAGCAAAGCTGACTGCAAAAAATTCTCCACACCGAACAGGCTAGTAACAACTGACACGCAAAATTTGTAAAGCAATGCCAGACAGCTACACTGTCCTAGAAGATTGACCGTAGTGAAGCGAGCACACCGAACAAGCTAGTAGCGAGCTGTTGAACGATCACACAATAGCAAGGCCGACCATAAAGCAACTGACACGCAAAATTTGTAAAGCGTAGGCAAAGCTAATGCAAAGCCAGACAGCAAGCTGCACAATGTTACTGCTACGAGCTCCACCCTAAGCTGAACCGTTTCTCTAAGTCCAGCTCCAGCTCTCGGACAGGCTACCCATATTACAACCCAAGAATCCAAATAACCTGTTATCCCGGGTGTAATGGGAGCAAAATAAACACAGCAGAAAAAGCTTAGACTTATATTATCCTTCACCAATTTAGAACAGCAATATGTACACTATGTACAGTGATAAGTATAGTGCACTCCACGGTAAGAAAGGCAGAAATAGAGGCCACAAGATAGCAGACCGTGCTTCAACCAGCCCTAGATGGGAATGACAAGGGCAGACAGGAGAGCGGTACCCACATAACCTCTGCGATTGCTAGAACCTGGTCACAAGTTGAACGACGGGGCCCCATCATCAACTCTTAGTAACCTGGTTTGCTGGTTGGGGAAGACAGCCTGTAAATGAGGGTGTGTACATGCGCCGAATAAAGGTTACGTACTCTTTGCATGCCACAACCACCATCACCACCTTCACCACCACCACGACCATCACCATTATCACCACCACCACCAACACCACCACCATCACCACCAACATTACCATCACCACCATCACCATCACCACCACCACCATCACCACCATTACCACCATCACCATCACCACCACCATCACCACCACCACCACCACCACCACCACATCACCATCAACACCACAATCACCATCAACACCACCACCACCACCATCACAAACAAACCACCACACCACCACTATCAACCACCACCACCACCCCCATTATCACCACCACCATTATCACCCGCACCACCACCATCACCAGCACCACCACCACCATCACCACCACCACCATCAAAAACCACCATCACCACCACCCACCACCCTCACCACCAACCACAATCAGCACCACCACCATCCACCACTTCCACCCTCACCACTACCACCATCACCAAAACCACCATGACCACCACCATGGGCAACCACCATCACCACCATCACCACCACCTTCACCACCACCACCACCACCACCACCACCATCACCATCACCCCCACCACCACCAACCCCCACCATCACGACCATCACCACCACCCCCATCACCAACACCACCATCCCCCACCATCCACCACCACCACCTCACCAAAACCACCATCACCACCACCACCACCCTCACCCCCACCATCAACACCACCGCCCTCACCATCACCCCCACCACCAAACACCACCAAACCCCCACCACCATCATCACCACCACTATCACCACCACCCCATCACCAACACCATCACCACCACCACCACCTAACCAATTCCCCCCACAACCATCACCCCACCACCAACACCCCCACCACTATCACCCCCAAACCATCACCACATCACCACCATCACCCCCCATCACCACCACCACCATCACCATCACCAACATCACCACCACCATCACCACCACCACCATCCCCACCACCATCACCACCGCCACCACCATCACCACAAAACCAACACCACCACCATCATCACCACCAAAATCACCACCATCACCAACACCCCCATCACCACTATCACCACCACTGTCACCACCACCATCACCACCACCACCATCTCCACCATCACCACCACCACCACCATCACCAACATCACCCCCCCACCACCACCATCACCAGCATCACCACCACCACCAATCACCATCACCACCATCTCCACCACCATCACCAAAACCATCACCACCCCCACCACCACCATCATCACCACATAAACACCACCACCATAAACACCATCACCACCACTACCATCACCACCATCACCATCACCACCATTACCACCACCATCACCACCACCATTCACCACCACCACCATCACCACCATCACCAAAACCACCACCACCATCACCACCATACACCACCACCACCACTATCACCACCACTGTCACCACCCCCATCACCACCACCACCATCACCACCATCACACCACCACCCCACCACCATCACCACCATCACCACCACCACCACCATCACCACATCACCACCACCACTACCACCATCCCACCATCTCCACCACCATCACCAAAACCATCATCACCACCACCACCACCATCACCACCCCATCAACCCCATCAACACCATCACCACCACTACCATCACCACCATCACCATCACCCCCATTACCACCACCATCCCCACCACCATCACCACCGCATCACCACCACTACCATCACCACCACCCACCATAAACCACCATTACCACCACCAACACCAACATACCACCACCCCCCATCCACACCACACCATCACCACCACCACCACCATCACCACCACCATCACCACCACTATCACCATCACCACCATCACAACCACCATCACCACTGTGGCATGCAAAGAGTATGTAACCTTTATTCAGCGCATGTACACACCCTCATTTACAGGCTATCTCCCCCAACCAGCGAACCAGGTTGCTAAGAGTTGATGATGGGGCCCCGTCGTTCAACTAATGACCAGGTTCTAGCCAATAAGAAGATGGTTTTGGCAGTGGTTATGTTGGTACCGCTTTCCTGTCTGCCCTTGTCATTCCCATTCTAGAGCTGGTTGAACCACTGTCTGCTATCTTGTGGCTTCTATTTCTGCCTTGCTTACCGTGGAGTGCACTATACTTATCACTGTACTTAGTGTACATATTGCTGTTCTAAATTGGTGAAGGATAATATAAGTCTAAACTTTTTCTACTGTGTTTATTTTGCTCCATTTACACCCGGGATAACAGGCCATTTGGAATCCTGGGTTGTAATAACCACAACCACTATCACCACCACCATCACCCACCACCACCACCACCACCATCATTACCACCATCACCATCACCACCATCACCACCACCAATATCACCACCATCACACCACCACCACCATCATCCTACCACCATCACCCTCATCACCCCAAACACCACCACCACCATCACCACCACCACCACCATCGCCACCATCACCCTCCACCACCACCACCATCGCCCCATCACCACCACCAGCACCACCACCATCACCACCACACCACCACCACCTCCTCCACCACCACCATCAACACCATCAACACCATCACCCCACCATCACCACCATAACCATCACCACCATTACCACCACCATCACCACCACCATCACAACCACCAACCCTCACCACCAACACCACCCCCATGACTATCACCACCATCACCACTCACCCTCCACCATCACCACAACCACCACCATCACCACACCCACCACCAAACCCCCATCACCATCACCACAATCACCATCAGAACCACAATCACCACCACCACCACCACCACCACCACCACCATCACTACCAAACCCCCATCACTATCACCACCATCACCCCCATCACCACCAAAACCAAACCCCCATCACCACCACCACCATCACCACCACCATCACCACCACCACCATCACCACCACCACCATCACCACCCATCACCACCACCACCACCATCACCACCACCACCACCACCATCACCACCACCACCACTCCCACACACACCACCACCACATCCCACCACCACCACCACCACCACCATCACCACCACTCCCACCAACACAACCACCACCACCACCACCATCACCACCCACCGCCACACCACCACCACCACCATGAGCACCACCATCACCACCCACCACCATCACCACCACCACCACCATGAGCACCACCATCACCACCACCACCACCATCACCATCTCCACATCACACCACCACCACCACCACCCCCACCATCACCATCACCACCACCATCACCACCACCCCCCCCAACCACCACCCCCAAACCATCACCACCATCACCACCATCACCACTATACCACCATAACCATCACCACTATCACCACCCCAAACACCATCACCAGGAAACACACCACCCCACACCGCAATCACCAAC